CTAATTCACCCACCGAGATCCCTGTACGCATCCTCCAGTATGCACATGAAACATGTGGTCCGACGAGCATTGCTTCAAGGATAGAGCAGCGACGCTGAGTCAGGGAGAATGCGAGCGATAGAAGAAACGCATTAGACACTAGACTGAAAAGCATGAAAAATGTCCCAGTAGACAGGTCAACACACGCTCATGGATGGAGCAGGCATTGGTTTGAGGCTGGGGTCTAATGTAATCTTAGCTTCAGCCGACACCCACTCCGTTAAGTGAGACAAAGTGGCAACGCCTCGCAGCCAAAGCATTCACTGTAACAACAAAGGAGCTCGAAGTACCAACTCTAACAGACACACAGAAATGCGTGGATAGCCCTAATGCAGGCAACGGTAGTCACAGATCTGCACTTGAACATGCACAACACGAGAATAACGAACGGCGCAGGGCACCGGGACTCGAAGTACAACAAGACTGCCTTCAGCTGAGGGAGTTGCTTATCTTGTATTACTCGAAATTGCAAATTAGGGTTCCAGGTTGGAAAATTGATCTTCCTCACCAACTCAAGGCTTAATATGTCCTTTGCAATTAACTTAATTAATTGCTTTATTCATTTTCCATTAGACTCACATCTAGTAGCAACAAAACATATTCTTTGCTATCTTGCATGTAGCATGGATATTGGCATCTTTTTTTTGCCAAGGATTCACTTGTACAACTTGCATATTATAGAGATGCAGAATGGAGTGCATGTTGGGAAACAAGAAGATCCACTGGAGCATATATTGTGACTCTTGGTGGAAGACAAATTTCTTGGCCAAGTAAAAGACAATCCACAGTTTTATAGTTAGAGTTTGGTATTCTTTCTGAAGAAGCAGCTATAGTATTTCATCTCAAATAAGTCTTTCAAAAGTTGATGCGTCAAGATCATGGGGATGGAAATTTGCATTGTAATGAAACTAAGATAATCTCAAACTTCGAGATAGCTCACATTCCAAAATTTGAAGATTTGTAGTTATATTGCATTGAAGCTTGCAAAAATCCCATCTTTCATGCTTGTTTAAAACACTTTGAGGGTCAACACCACTTTGTACATGAAAGGATTTTAGCAAAAGATGTAACAATACATTATGAGCCAACAAAAACTCCAATAGCAAATATTCTAATAAAAGCACTACTTAGACTATCTTTAACCAATTGTAATCTTAAGTAATCTATATAGTCATTAAGCTAAATATAAAAAAACTCTTACTTATCTTTTCAAGAGCTTCTTAGTTAAGAATAGATTACGTTGAGCCTAAATATAAATTCATGGCATACATTGTGTATTGTATTGCATTGTGGAATGTACAAGATTTAACACTTATAAATATATAAAAATACAAACTTCTTTCTAAATAGGGACATACACACATATGTATATACACACTTCATTTATACACACACACCAGCTTGTGTTTTTATTCTAATTTTATTTATTATAATAATTTTTTAAATATTGCTTATTGAGTGAATACATTGTAATAGGCTTGATTTGATTATTTTCCTTAGCATCTTCTATTAAATGACCAAACCTTTTGATCTACTTTTGCCATGTATCTATACTCATTTAGTATAATTGACTATTTATGTGGAATGTTATTTTTATATCACTTTATGTTATCTACTGAAAATAACCACACCCGACTGCAAAGATGTTATTCCTCTGAGGAGCCTATACCTACCGGAGATGATATTTGCCAAAGTACCTCAACGGCACGGTATCAAAGGAGTTGTAAGTGAAGAGATAAGGCACTATTATAAGACCATTAAAGTTTATAAGAGATGCAATAAGATAAAGGAGTACTCAAAGATCAAAGAAAACATATAGCAAGTAGTCAAAAAGTAGTACAATACGTAGTAGGTCTTCTGTAGTAGCACCTCAAGTCAAGCTAGTGTTGGACTGGAGGCTATATAATTCTAACTGAGCAGTAAATTATTTTTTATCTTTAACTAATTATCTTGTGTATCAAGTCCAATCTTGCAAGGTCGTGTCCCCTCCTTGCCAATAACCTTGAAAGTCCAAGTAACACTTTACTATGAATATTATTTATCTTCTCCTTGTACTTGTCTAAATAAAAATAACCAATTGTTTTTTTGATTATACAAATTTTTTAATTGATATAAGGCTTTTTTATTTAAACATGGATAATTTTTTCTTTATTTTTTGTTTTTTATTAATATCTAATTTTATCACATTTTTATTTACATTTTATTTGAGCATATTGCATTTATTATAAATTTTGACACAATTATGGTTTGATATTGGATCCATTTAATGTACCATCACTAGTTATATAAATAACATTTAATGTTTGAGTACAAGAATAGAGTTTGAAATAGGAAAATAACATAAATAATTTTAAATAAAATTGGTAAACATATTCCTTCTAAAAAAAATCATAAAATATATATATATATAGTAAAATATCATGTTAGCTAGGTATTTGTAAAAATTTAAGATGTAGCCATGGAAACTTACAAATGAAATAAAGAATTTTGTTAATTTATATTTAAAAAATCTACTAAAATTTTATATTTTATATTTTTTAATTTAAAATAAATAAATATTTAGTTGATAGATTAAATACTAATAATGCAATAACATCAACTTCATTTGTTGTCCTAAGAGGTGAGGCTAACAAAGTTCCTATGTTTGTTCATAGATTAAAAATTGTCCATGAAGCTTTTCTTAGTTGGTAAGATGAATATCCAAAGCCTAATAAATAGGTTGTGTAAACAAGTATAATATCTTCTATAGTTTAAAAAAACTAAGTCAAAATAGAATGTTTATTTGGTGTGTTTGGATATCATTGTTGTAGTCTTATAATAATGTAGTTACATACTCCAAAAGGAATAAATGTCATAGATTAAACTATTTTTTATTTTTTATTTATCTTTCATCTATTAAGCATATTTTGATTTAAAAAATAAAATAAAATAAAATAAAATAAAATAAAAAAGAAAGATAATTAAAATCCTCTATATACTTATATGTTTACTTTTATAAGTTTTGTTTTCTTCATTGCACTTCATTAATACTTTATTAAATATTATTATATAATATAATTTATAATTATTGGACTCCAAAACTTAAATTTCATATACCTTAACCTCTTAAAATATTCAGATTATATATTTTTCATATCAATTAAATTTTAAAGATTCAAACTAATAATCAAATCAGATTTAATATATATATAATAAAATAAACAACAACAACAACAACAACAACAACTTTTTGAAATTATTATTTAAAACATATATCCTACTTTACAAGATTTATTTTAAAATTTAAAATCTATTATATCAAATGGTTAAAGTATCTATATGAAATTCTATGGATTATACAATCATATTATAAAATATGATTTTTGTACAATCTTAATAAATATATATATATATATATATATATCTATTCTAATGGTGTCTAATAATGCCTTAGCATCATAAAAAAAAACTATATTGCACTTTATGTCCCTTTAATGATATTAGTTTGTGCTCCAATTTATGGAGTATAAAAAAAATAAGAATGATTTATTGTTTGGTAGACATAGTCTAATCATGCAAATTGTTTTGTAACATAAGCTCATCAACAATCAGTGATGTTTGTTGGACAAATTACAATAGATTCAATGATAATTTATTCTATTATTTGATTGGAAACATAAGCTAATAACAACTTATTTGATCTCCACCTAATTCTACCAAACATCCATTAACTTCTCATCTTTGCTTTTCTATCACAATTATTTTTTAAAAATATTTTTCATCTAGTTCTATTATCTATCTCTATTGTCTATTTTCTCTTATTTTTACTTATAATTTCTAAAGTTTATTAATTTAATAAATTAACTTGGTTGATCAAACTTAATCAACCAAATTATAATTTGAAGGAATTGCAAGGTGATAGTGTGTACAAACTTAAATGTTTAGTTAACAACAACAAGACATTAAGATTTAGCTTATTATAAAATTAACTATAAATTTTAAACTATATACATATTCTTGTAGACTTGATTTTTCTTAATCTCTTTTTGTTACTTTGCTATAAAAATATTTTTATTTTTTATCTATTATTTTTTACTTATTCATAAGATTTCTTACAATAAACACATTTTATAATTTAAGAATAGAATCCTAGCTTTGTTACCATATCCACATAATTTTCTACATTAGAAGTTCCAACTATAAATACTCTCTAATTTAATGTTACATGTATTATAAGAAAAACTAAACTAAATCTATAAGAGGGAGTAGGAAAAATAAAATAAAATAAAGTAAGAAGAAGAAAATGAAGAAAAAGCAAAAGAAATTATAATTATAATTATAATAATAAGAAAGAGAATGACAATTAAAGATGGTGGTGGTACTAGCTTGTAAGATTGTGTACTTAGTGGTAGCTTAGAAGGTTTAAGAACACTTCAACCATACTGGTTTTAATTGTTCAACCTAAATTTGTTACTTGGATGGGTGCAAAGTTCAAGGTGTATGCAAATTACAAAGTGGGTACAAGGTAGATACAAATTACAAGGATTAATGTTATGTTTTATAAATATAAGTAAATGTTGTTGACTTTTTTCTTGCAACTGCAGAATCCTCTTAGGAAAGGATGTTGAAATTCACAATATTGAATATGTCACAAATAAACAACCAATAATGTATTATCACTTCTAATCTATCTACTTGTAGAATAAAAACGAATATAAATATAATGCACCCCATAGATGTGTTGGATATTCATCATGTCCTTTTGTGAATAATAAGAAAAGCATGTGTTTAGTTAAACATGGTGATTTGGTCCACAATCATCCTAAATTATTCAATAATGGTTGGTTAGACCTAAGAATTTGCAAACTTGTTCCAAAGAGTTGGCTATCCAAATTCAATTGTAAAATCTTAACAGAATTTGCTTGACAGAATTCGCATTGGGTATACCTCATCATTGAGTCAATAATAATAATACTTAGTGATTTACACAGTTCCATAGAATAGAGTTTGCTAATCCACACCAACAACCGAGGCGCACGGCGCCGACTCGTCGGCACACGCAGATCGATTCCGCAGATGCTTGCCGACCTAGCAGCATTGCACGAGTCGATTGAGCAACGGAGTGGGACGCTATAGCCACCGCAAGTAGACCCACGACGGTGGGTTCGATCAGAAAAGCTGAAGATTGGACCAGTTGCTGCGGACAATGGTGGGTTTTTTGTTCGAGGTGTGCGTGGATTCGCTTCACGGGGCCTTGGAAGCGCAGAGAGGAGGCGCAGGCCGAATCGAGCTCTGCAGCAATCTGGATGTGGGTGGGTTAACGCCGAGCTACGGATTGATGAAGCTCGTGAGGAAGCGAATTCAGGTTCCCGTCCATGTACTCATTCGGCCGCGAGCTGGGGACTTCGTGTACTCGGAACTGGAGGTGGAGATCATGGTTGCCGACATCGGGGCGGTGGGGGAATTAGGGTTACAAGGAGTAGCGATCGGGGTGCTGACCGAGACGCACGAGATCGACATGAAAGTGATGCGTGTCCTGCTGGACGAGTGCCGTCGCTACAATCTCTCGGTCACCTTCCACCGCGCCTTCGATTGCGTGCGCGCACCCTTGGAAGCGATCAAGATGGTGCAGTATCTGGGGGACGTGTCGCGCGTTTTGACGTCGGGGCAGCAGCCGACGGCGGTGGAGGGGCTGCTTCTTCTGGGCGCGTTGATGCAGGAGGCAGGGTCGAACGTTCTAATTCTGCCCGGTGCTGGGATCACGGAGGAGAATGCGGCGCACATCGCCAGTGAGCTGGGCGCAATTGAGTTGCATGGTAGCGTGCGCAAGGAGCTGGCCGTTTGTGCATCGACCAACCTCCTTCCGGGTGACAAAAATCGTGTGATTTGGACAGTGGACGTAAAGAAGCTTCACACCATTTACCACCGGTGTAGAACTTCTCTGAAAGTGGATGACCTATGTACTCGCGATCCTCCCGAGGAGGACAATTGTTAATATAGTGTTAATATAATGCAATTGTTAATACAGTTTTTGCTCAAACTGGGTTTTCCCAACTACCCAGGTCCGAATCCGCTTTGAATTAGGTTGATTTCTGGCTGGAGACGTTTTTTAACCAACTCGTGCTTTGGTTCACTCATTCGTTTTGCATGATGAACCACTGCCTTGCAATTGGCTGTGAGTCTATGATCTTCTGACGGACAGGTCAGCATTCAACGAGAACACTTAATTGGAGTGCATTCTTTTCATGCACTCATCGTTGTCCAAATCCGGTTGATTTTTACAGAACAGATGATTTCTTAGATGATACTGCGCGGGATCATGTAGAGGCAACACACAGACGTAGAAATCATCAACTCTTGGACAAGACCCAGGAGCATTCCTTGCCGCGACAAATTTGTTCTTAGTGCCCAATAACGAACTATTCGATGTTAACTGTGGAGTGTCTCTTTTTAGGGACGAAGGTGTGCAACTTGTATACAAATTGGCATCCGGAATGGGAGCCACCTAGCTGCAAGTTCAACAGTAGAAAACAAAAATCGATTACCAGTGTAGTCTGTCCGCTATTCTTCTAAACCACCAAGTATCAACAAATGTCTTCTTTCTCTTCACGTCAAAAGGTAATTCTAGAGATGGCAACGCTGTTCTCTACTCTCTCCTGTACACTTACTTTCCGGTAGTGTGCAGTTTTCATTGCACTCTGCTTGCCTTGAATCTCGTAACAGATGACCTTGGAAGTCATGGCAGGTGGCGCTCAGAGGCCGTCTGTTTTGCGAGGAGAGAGCACTCTTAGGCCGTGGATTAGCATCTCGTCTCGAAGACAAGCTCGTGTTGGTCTCCCCCTGCGAGCACCACTCCTGGGCGCCACCGCTCCTTCGCCGTGGAAGACGCAGATTGTCTGCCCTGCTGTGGGCTTGCCACAGGTTTTCAAACGTATCCGCCAGCTGCGATTTGTCGTCATCTGCCAACGCCACCGACAACTTCAGTTCCTCTGATTCAGCAAAAGAATTAACGAGGTCAATTCAACGTAGACTTGAACAAATACTCAGTAGTCGCGATAAATGTAGGCCTTCCAAATCTTTTCGTAACAGTAGAATTCAAGAGTTACGTACAACCATTTCCTTTGTGGACTGAGAAGGGTCTGGGATTCGTCAGCTTTCTACAATTCTCAGTTTCGTTACAAAGGTTATTATTCCAGTTGGAGCTCTGTCCCTGCAGCAAAAAATCAATCAATGCTACCTTCAGCTGTCTTCGCAATCTCCTCGTTGACTTGAAATTTATGACACAAACTCAATTCATCGAATGATTTAAGTTTTCGGCAGATGTAAAGGTTTGTCTAATTGACTCTTTCAATTGAATTTAAGGAACCTGCAGGTCTTACGGGATCCCTGACATCAAACAAAGATGGATCATCTCCACCAGCGCCAGTCCACACCGGCCTTGCGGATACCGGCCTCGACATTTTCACAGAATTTGCAAGCTTGGACTTCTCTGCAGGTTTACAGAGACGAAGTGGCACATGAGTTCCTGCATGTTCACCCCAATTACTCGCTCAGAGAAAATGATGGTGATTATTTAACTCACGAGAACGTGCAGACGGTATTCATACTTATTATCGTATTTTCTAAGCTAGCAATGGAGACGACGGTAAAAAGAACAATACCCACTTGCATTGCCATGCATAGATCCAGCTATTGCGCCCGGAACCAGCCTGTTAGTGAGAGAAATAGGAATTAGTCCAGTCCCAGCAGGCTTCGCAGGATTTACTGCTGTACAGCCTTTCTGGTGGTGCAAATAGGGTTTGGGAAGGAACCGCCGCTGGCAGTGATGACACTGCTGCAAAGTTTGCTCAAATGCTTCTAATGCCCTGCATTTGCATTTTCGAGCCTCATGTCAAAGATGTATCAGAGTTCATTATTTCATATATAAGAGCAAAAGGTTTCAACCCAATGTTCATTCGGTTGACGGAATATTAACTTCGTAGACTCCTGATGTGGTGTTCCTCAAGGAAGAGAAACATCGTCCCCAAGTCCAACCACCTCGCCTGAATTGTTGTTAAGACCCCAAATGCCGTCACGCAACTCTGACCTTGTTCGGCAAAATTGTTGAGAAATCCTGTCTAGTTACCTTGAAGCTCTTAGGAAAGTTGTAATATGTAGTGGTTGGAGTACGATAGAGAAAATACTCGCTGTTGAAGACATCGAAAGCTTGGGCATCACCATTGCTGATGGCTTTCTCGAGATTAGGTTGAGGTGGCAAAGGGCGCCGATGATTCTTGGGCTTGTTCTCCTCTTCCAGTAGCCACTTCTTTTGGCATTGTGGAATGTGGATTGGCAAACTGCGATGCGTCATACACGTTAGGGTTTGCTTTCTAAACGTTTTTGTAGAATTCTTTAGCTTTACATCAAATGCGTGAGAATGATGACCTCTTGGTGCCATATTCGCGGCCACAAAGGTAGCACATGAACATGCGTGGCCTATTACCAGGCCTGGAAGTCGCCCCTGACTCCATATCTTCCGATTTCTGCTCTCGCACTCGTCTCAACTACGAAGAAACTCAGAAAAATGTCCTACGCCTCAATCGGGGCCTCTCAGTCCAATCACTTGCACATGCTCAGAGAAAAATGAAAAACATCTCAGCTACTGCGTTCATTCCACAGCAGTTGACATTCCAAGACGCATCTGCATGAATCTCGACCAACGAAACAAGTCACGACGACTTTTAAAACTCCATCACATAGACAATTGCGAAATCGACGTTTAATCCAAGAATAACGCACTAATCTGGCTCCAAAGGGAAGCATGTCCATATACCCAATCAAACCATTAAATGTAATTCGCCTCTGAATGAACGCTTGTGGTGAGATTGTGACCGGGGCCTGAGGAATAAAAACAACCTGAACAAAATTCCATTACAGACATACATCTACCACTTCAATAGAACCACATTCTGTTCCTGCGTCAGTGCTACTCAACCATCTAGTACAAATAAGTGTTAAGAAGAGGGTTGCAAGAAGGCCATCATATACTTCAAGAATTACGTCATATTCCAAACTCCACGCGCCTTCCACGACTCAGTTAAACAAAACTGCACAGGAAATCAGGGTCTTTACTACTGAGGTACGAAACGACACTTTCATCCCTTCTTCTCGGGACGTCCACTAACTACGAACTGTCAACACTAAAAACAAATGAGGTTTACCTATTCAAATTCATATCCAAACTTCCTTCAACCATGCATCGGTCTTCACAAGGCTACGGAGTGCGTTACCCCCATAACTAGGAGTATTAATGTGGACAAGTAGGGCCGCTTCAGTGCCTGATTAACATCAATCTATTCGAGTCACAGGACACAAGAGAAATGGCAACGACAGAAACTTTCCAAGAGGGAAATAAAGCACGCATTATTTTGACACATACAAGATACGATGATTCTCAGATAATAAAATAATGGACCGTCATTCACTTTCTCAAAAAGCTCATCCCAGAATAGACAATGAAGGAACCACACAAGTGCACGTCCCACACGAAGTACTGCACTGTAGGACTCTATTTTCGATCTAGGATGAAGCGGGCGCCTTCTTGGGAGCGGCCTGGGTTCCTGTACCGTTTGGCGGAGGTTAGAACACGTGGCATATTTGGCATTCAAATGAGAACCCGCCCTGAGGCAGAACTCAATAGCAAATGAGAACATATAAAGCCACTGAAGTTGCAAAGATGTGAAGAACATGAAGTAACCAAAGAAGTTGCAAAGATGTGAAGAAAGCATCCCCAGCAAAAACTATCATTCATGTCGAGAATTATTTTTCAATATCTGATGATGAGAAACAAGACATCGGGTAAAACGCAGCAAGTACGAGAGCATTACTGATTCAGGGGTAGTAAAGAAAATGAGTGCGTTGAAGAGTACGTACCCTCTCTGAAATTGTTAGAGAACCTGCGGGGAAGATGGCGAAGGTGACGCATGCGTCCCGTTCCAGTTGTCTTTCTCCTAATAGCCTTCACGCTCCAGTTATCTGAAGCATCTTTGGAGTCAGATGTGTGTAATATACGAGAAAATACCATTGTATGACCAGTGCTAAGGAAGATGTCGGCTCAACATGAGACCCTCCATCCTCTGACCGTTATGTTATAAGAATCGGTTGCATCTTGAGAGTAAAAAATCGAGAATCCATCTAAATCCCTATAACTTTCATCGATATTTCAAACACACTAAATTGCGGAGAAGAATATGGGTTCTAAGTTATATTGATGTCGCATTACAGAACTTTTCCAGCGGACCAGAGGGCTAGCAGTTAAATACTATTGGGCCACAGATTCGCTGCACCGATTTCTCGTACATCTTGAGACGACGTATTCCGAGATGATTTCTGGTAACAAAAATGTGAGTAACTTGAAACAAAAAAATACGACAAATAGAGTGGTTCACATACAGCTTCGGACTCTTGCAGCGGGGTAGGCACATGCTGAGCACCGGCTCTTCTGAATGTGAAAGCTCCGACGCCCACATCGCCGACAAAGTGTGTGCGATTTGTTTCGGCGCTTACCGAAACTACCCGTTCCCTTCGTCTGCACGTTCACACAAACGACCGAACTCAATTTTCTCTTCCCAACGCATCTTCATAGAAACCAGTCTCAGCGCACCACCTTTTCTTTTACACAATCAGCTCACACCTCAAAGAAATTTTATACTCCAGTCTATAGGATTCCTCACCGTACACGATCCTACACACACTGCCCCACGCCTGTGAACCAAAGTGCAAAACTCAATCACACCTCGATATCCACAACCAAGATCTGGTGGCGTGACTTCCATGCGAGAATCTAAACGAGAATCTGATCCTAGAATCAATGCTCTCTGATCGCGAAAATAAACATCCCTCAACAACATACCAATGCGTGAACTATGTAACATGTCTACCCTAAGGAGGATGACGACGACAACAACAACTCACCCATTAGGGTTTCATGGGAAAATCGCAATTCACAACGGGACCAGGTGCGAGAAGCAACAAACGAAAGAACACAAATGCCGCAATACAACAAGAATGCCAGAAAGCAAGGAAACGCACCATGTTGGAAGGCGGCTGTGAGAACAATGCGAGAGCTACTTTGGGAAAGGACGTCAGAATGTGAAGGTCTAGGGTTTATGCCCTCCGACGTTGACAACAAACTGGTTCCCGATGAGGTACCCGATGTGGTTCCCGATGCGGTTCTCAATGAACCCACCTCTAGAGTATGAAAGCTCGCCGAAATCCAAGGACATTTATCATCCTGAACTATGAATGCCGATATTCATTAATCCAGAAACCCTGATTTCTTTTTAAATGATATCTTAACTCGACGATTTGTAATACGTGTACAAGAAAGATAATCATGATATCATTATTTTTAAAAGTTTTGAACGTACCTGTTTTAACACATAAGATTTGTAACATTAGCAACATGTTTCAAATATAAATGTAATCTCAAGGTGAAATAGATTTAAACAACCTTTAATAACAACAAAGAATAGCATTCAAATTTCGAATATATTTCTCAATAACTACATGTATGTATTTATATACATGTATCTATGACATATGCATATACATATGTGTACATACATATACATGTCATAGATACATTTTTGGTATTGCTGTTTTTAAAGACATTCAATTACATAATAATAATCATCATCGTCATCATTATAATAACCACTGAAGGAATGAGTGTGTTTGAATTGATTAAACGTGAAATTAATCATTTCAAATAATAAGTTATAGATTTGACAAGGAAAATGATTAATATGAATATGAAGTTGATGTTACTGTTTAAGCATTATCAAAATCCTTTAGTCAGGGCAGGACTAATATTTCAAATTCTCAGAACTGCATCATTGGGTAATAATTATTATTTTTTTCTTTCTCACTGTGAAAAATAACTTGTCAAATACATTCCCTATAAAAAAGTCGTTAGTGCAGGCACATCCCCTAACTGAAATGCTAGTCGCTTGTTTGTTCCTTAAACATTGCATGCGAGTTTCAATAAGCGTTAGATCCAGATTTCCCACTTGATCGACGAATGAAACAATTACTCGTTAGAATACGAGAGACATCCAAGTTGGACGGGCGGGGATTTTGGGACGTCGACCTGGACTGACCCGGCCCGGCCCTTCGAATGTTGACAATCTGGAACCCTAATTCGCAATTTCGAGAAATATAAGAGAAGCAACTCCCGTAGTCGAAGACAGTATCGTTGCACTTCGAGTCCCGATGCGCGGCGCCGTTTATTATTCTCGTGTTGTGCATGTTCTAGTGCAGATCTGTGACTTCCATTCCCTGCATTAGGGCTATCCACGCATTTCTTTGTGTCTGTTAGAATTGGTACTTCGAGCTCCTTTGTTGTTACAGTGAGTGCTTTGGCTGCGAGGCGTTGCCACTTTGTCTCATTTAACGGAGTGGGTGTCGGCTGAAGCTAAGATTACATTAGACCCCAGCCTCAAACCAATGCCTGCTCCATCCATGAGCGTGTGTTGACCTGTCTACTGGGACATTTTTCATGCTTTTCAGTCTAGTGTCTAATGCGTTTCTTCTATCGCTCGCATTCTCCCTGACTCAGCGTCGCTGCTCTATCCTTGAAGCAATGCTCGTCGGACCACATGTTTCATGTGCATACTGGAGGATGCGTACAGGGATCTCGGTGGGTGAATTAGTTAGCATCCGAGAGTGGGTGCCGACTCCAGACCCCGCTGTAAATTATTTTTTCTCAGAGTTCTAGTTGAGAGTGGGGCTTAAGTTGGGTGTGAGGAGAGGTTTTTCAAGCCTCTCATGTTTCACAGATCATCATGAGGCTCCGAAGATTAACCATTCTGCCAAAGTCTGCTGGATAGAGAAAGATGTAATTTTCTTCGGGCAGACTCAGGCACACATGTTATCTCAAGAGAGCAAGATAATAACAACATACTTTCTTGTTTCCAATGATGGCAGCTACTTCCTCAACAGATTCGCCTCTGCCATAAGAATGTTCAAGAGGACAAAGCCTAAGATATAATGCACTTCGAAAGTACATGGAAACCCTAATCTCGGAGGACCTACGCCTACCCAATTCAATTTACCCAATGAATTCCATAGAATCCATCATGGTTACTCTAAGTACGGTCGGTTTACAGAATCTTACTACCTTTCATTCTTCGTCTGATAATGTTGATGGAAAATATACCAACTACTTAAAGCAAGGACATAGTGCAGTCAATGTTTGCGTCTGTAATAAAGGTTACATTTCAGAGTCATCTTCGTAATTGACCTTAAAAGTTTTGTACAAAACATGCACTGACCCAGCAATGCGGATTGTGCCCAGCCCCACAAATTTTAACACCATCCTCTCAGCCTTTCGATGTAGAGATAGTCAGCTCGTCACATATAACCGCCTACTTCTCAATTATTCCAGACTTGTACACGAACCCCCTATCCTTGATCCGTGTATACATTCACGATGCTATCATTTCGACAGAATTGTCTGTCGGGGTGTCCGCGCCAATTTGTACGTGAAGATCATCGGTATTTCTTCATAACGTTATTCATTCATTTTCATGCTCTACAGTGGTAACGTGATGCTAACATGTGTTCCGAAGCTCTTTGTATACTGTATATTCAATATCTCAACTTATTTTAGTACAGTACGTCTGTGTAAAATAATCAGGCAGATGTAGGTACAGACAGTTGGATTCTTCGCCATTGGTTAGAGCTTCGAGGGCGTGAATCGACGGGCGTTGAAAGTATCCGAGGCATCCACAACCAGGGCTGGCCGCCACCCAGCTTCAAAAGATGCTGTGCCCATAGTTCCCACGTTTCGCATCTATCTCTTGGCGTACGGCAGGAAAGAACGTTATGGAAACTATCTAATATCCTGATCACACGAACTCCGTATACTGCTCACATACCTATGACCTACAGTGTTGATTGACCTCATTTTGCCATGACGATTTGACTAGTTCTGGGTTGAGCTCCGGGATGCGACTTCGTGAATAGTTCGTTGAGTCGCTGGGGGTGGTAATAGCTTTTGCTGCTTTACCCATAGGATCTTCGGGTGGGCCACGACGATCAACGCGGGTCTCTCCATTCGGAGAGCTGCCTTTTCCATTTCCACACCTCTTGCTCTCACTTCACATGTGCAGTTCTCCCCCGTTTTTCAACTGCTTAGAATTTTTAGTGTTCCGGCAAACGATTTCCCATCCTCTGGTTCTTTCACGAGGCAGCTCTCAGACAGAGGGAGCTTGAGTGCAGCTTTGCGTCCTTGAGTTTCATGCGAAGGTGAGCGTGCAGCATATCTGTCGGTACGTGCTTGTTTGAACCATGTCCTACGCCACGCCCTCAAGCCCATAGACTCTATTGTCTGTATGAAAGTTGTCCATAGCAGAAGCATTTCTAGCTTACTCATTGAGCTCTAAGCTTCGCAGAGCATTCTTGCTTCCAGGTGGGTATTCCGAGGTCTAGAATTGGAGATTTGTGGACAGACGTCTTGAGCCCTTCAGGATGGGGTGGAATCGTCCGGAACACCGACACGAGGAAATACACCACAGGCATCACCGCACCAGAAGACTTTGCGTCGGACTGTGCACGATCCTGGTGGTCCTCATCGTCCTCCTCGGCGTCGCGACGCTCATCACCTATTTAGTCCTGCGTCCACGCACCACGCACTACGACATCGTCTCCGCCAGAGTTCCTGCCCTGGCCGTTAGCGGCACCACATCCAGTCCCACTTCCACGTCAACTGTCACTGCAGAATTCACCTACGGGGTGCAAGCACGCAACCCCAACGGCAAGGTCGTCATGGAGTATCAGAAATTCAACGTTCTCACCACGTACCTCGGCACAGACATCGGCCACAGCAGCGTCCCCGGGTTCATCCTCGGCGAAAAGGGCTCATACGTATTCCAAGTGACCACCTCTTCTGCCTACACAAATGGTCAGGTTAATAACATCGTCGGCAACACATTGAAGGCCGACATCGCGAGCGGCTCCGTCAACGTGCAAGTTAAGATTGACATTAGGGCGCGAGCGCATATCGGTGGTTACACTTCCTTTTGGATGTGGCTCCACACTCTTTGCCAGGTGACTGTCATTCCTCCGTCAGGAAGCAACCCCGGAGTATTTGTGCGGTCGAAATGCTCGGATTAGTGTTTCTCATAGATCTTAATTTCTTGCCGTGCAATACCAATTTGGAGATCAGCTTTAGAGAATCAAACTGCCGAATCATGTACAGCATCCCTCTCTATTGCTCTTCGTTCACCTCGCGTCAGTAGACACCATAGCTGTGAAAATTCTGTACAGTTGCTGAAACGTCCATCAACACATTTTATGAAGGTTTGCAGTGTTGTAACGATCGGATTCCAGAGCCAGATGACGTCGTCGTCGTTTTGGGAAGGATTCTGCTACTGGGCTGGCTGTCGATCGAGTTAAATGCTAGTTGATTAAGCCAAAATAGAAGTTGTTATTGGTGGAACTTAGGATCAAACCGTGGGTTGTCCATCGTGGCCTGCGCAATGTGATTGTGTCTGCAATCTTGTAAAAACGCTCGACACCCAACAGTGTGAAAAATCTTATTTGTACACCTACCACATTCTCGTATCGGTTCCTGCGATGAGCAAAAGCGTGGACCCTTTCAAAAGCATCACTAGAAAAAGTGACGACGAAACGGAAAGTGCAAAATAAATTCTAATCTGCTGCTGGAGTTGTGAACCCTAACAAACGGAATCAATCAGTCAATCATAATAATAATAAAAATATACTTGTGAGTTGGCGTGGATGCCGCAAAGGGCGCCGCAGTGATGTGGTTCAACGACATTATTTCTTCTCGGGAGGAGGAAATTCATTCGCGGTCCCACTCTCTCCGAATCCCCGGAAGCATTGGTTCGTCTCGAGGATGTGTATATTTCCATGTTCCTTATGTTTCGTTAGCTTCTCCTTCTTCAAATTGTCATGTCCAAACTGTGAATCCTGAGCTGTGCCGCTCAAACCCTAATCGATGGCAAATGACTAGAGCATGTGGTAGATTTTTTACTTTGTTGTGGAACTTCTTTGGTGGTGAACTCACTCGGGTCCTTGCTTTGCTTCTACGAAAAGAAATTGTTTTGTTAAGTTTGGAATTGAATAGTTTACATTGTATTTGGAATATTATCAAGATAATATATTGATCAATTTAGAAAAAAATTATAGTATTGAACACAATCAATTAATGTTTATTATTTGCAATGAAAAATTGACGTCAGTCCATTAGTATGTATAAAGTAAAGAAATTCAATGATGTTTTGTTTGCAAATATCACTTTGCAAAGTGATATTGGTAGTAGACAGATGTTTGAAGACTAGAAATTATTATTAAATGATTCTCTAAAATATATAACAGACTCTTATTATTATTATTATTATCTTACTTATATATATATATATATATATATGTGTGTGTGTGTGTGTGTGTTTGTTATATAAAACAGTTGATGGGGTCAAATACACTGAATTAACTGAGGAGATGGCCTTTCTATACTCACAATACTGAGCAATGTATTACACAGTTGCCACTCCCTGAACAACACTCATAATCATGGTCATATGGTAGTGCAAATCATATGGTTGTGCAAGCACCATAATCAACACCAACAGCATAATCATCAACTCATTGCATGATTGTGCTTTGAGCTTGCATTATTATCATGCATTTCAATGTTATCTTTTGATACAATCAACGTTAATCATCCTTGTGAACAGTTTTTGTTCACTTTTTTGATAAAAACAATGAGGCATGCAGCTTATCAGAAGGCCATTTTGTCTCCCCAGTTTATTCCCTGTATTTGTCCCTCCCTGTGCTGTTTTAGATATCAAATATTTTTTTCAAAGTTATTTATAGAACATTTTAATCCCACCCATATGTCCACATACTAAAAACATCCACAAAGTGATGTGGACAGAAAGGATATGCTTACATGGCATGTACAGTGATGGCGGTTCACCAGCTACAACAATATAGATTTGATCCGTTGGGCGACTCTCCTGAGTTCCCGCCAAGGGAACGCGCCTTCGAAGAGGGCGGGTCTTCCTCCTCCGCTCTCCAATTCTTACTTCGTCATTCTTCGCATTTTTCTCGATCCCAATTCCCGTGATTAGGGTTTCCTGGAGCTTAATCTTCGAGCTACACCGTGTGGTAATCATGTCCAGGAGGTGCCAGGTTTAGTTTCTGAGAGCTGAAGAGACTTAACTTCCTTTGAGTTGAGTTAGTTGCAGGTCAACTTCGATCAGTGTGGAGTTCACGTTGCTTTTGAGAGTTTTATTATATTAGAACGGGCAGATGAAAAGTGAGTTGGTATTGAGTCGTGAATTGGACCACGAAAAGTACTGGACATTTCGAAGTGATATTGTAATTGGTCGTTTTGATTTTGGTTACGCCAGAATTCTGACCTACACTTGGGGTTTCTGACCGCGTATTCGTGGGATGGAAATGTGATTATCCATGTGCACTCGCACAATGGAGTCGATGATGGTGCGTTTCCTGCAAGGGATTTGATCACTCGATAACTGGTTTAAGGCATACGGAGTGCTGTAGAAGTGGCTCAAATTTTGCAGCGAGATGGAATAATTATTTCAGTTGATTCAGAGTGTCGTTTGGCAAGTGGACACGCAGAGTTTTCTCTACGAATTAAAAGGCAGGAGTATATTAGGACTGCGGAAGTTCTTGCCACCTTGTTGGGGAGGTCCATTACAGCCTTGTGCGTTTGATCGGTGTAACTATGGTGGATGTCTTCGCACTCAACGATGACGATGTTGGAACGGGGTCATGCTCGCAAAGACAACGCGACCTCTCAGAAGCACAAAAGGCTCGCATGCTTCAGCAGAAGGAGTTGGCGCTGGCTCGGTTGCAAGCTAGGAAGCTCCAACAAGCGCAGGTACCCTCTCGTAGTGGCATCCACACGTCTTTGCCAGAACAGGCCAGTCCTAATCTGCTGCACGGAAATCCTGATCCATGTCGACTTCCCAGTCAGGAATGCAACAACTATTCCACAAGCCTTGGACCGCAGTTTCAAAATGGAGTGAAATTTCAGGTCGAAGGTCGAGGTAGTCATTATAGCCCTATGTTGTATTTGAAACATTGCCAGGATGGTAACACTGAAGGACCTTTCAAAATGAATAACCATCGTAGAGATGCGGATTTTTCTCCAGGTCCACAGCAGATTCCACGCCCATTAAACTCGACAGAGAGCTTGAGGCATATCCCAAAGGAGATGGAAGGAGACTGGATATCTGTTCGGAAGAGACCAGCTCCTGGTTGCAGCTTCGGCAGGCGGATTTCTCCCTATTTCAATCAGTCCAATCCTTCAACTGAGCCTGAGGTCTATCCAATATTCAAAAGCCACAAGACTTCTCCGAATGTGTCACGTTCCAGCCAACAGTCACTTGGTGTGTACATCCTTGATTGTCCCAAGGATTACGGAATCTTTTGTTTTAAAACAGACTTTTGTCTGTTACGACTTGTCGTGATTATCGTTCCTACTTCTTCTTGGATAGAAGACTGTGAAACTTCTATTTCCTTAATCTTGTGTTCTCCCAAGATGTACACATTTGCTCCCCCCCCCCTCCCTCTTTTCAATTTAATTTAATTTTTAAAAAACTGGATTTTAATTTTAGTATGTCATTTATTGTGCAGGCAACAGTCAGTCGAACGTCAAGAGGTTTCACTGGCAGCAACAAGAACCGTCAGTGAGGTTACTGAAGCCAGGTAATCTGAAGAGTCCTTTTCCTAGCCTTCAATAAGTTCCAAATAGTTTTGTATGAACCACTGTCAGAAAACGAAGCAACGTGCAAAGTACTACTAAAATATAGAAACCCACCTTAAAAGTCAAATCACAGTTTAGGTGTCAAATGCATCTAAGCACGACTTGATCTCTGGACTATGTTTTGAATGGCTTCTAGAAAAATCACAGAATGCTTTGAATACGGCATCACAAAAGGGTAAGGTGGTTCCCTCGAAACAGCAGATGGAAGTTTTAAAGGCCATTACCCAGCAGAAGTCCGTCTTTATTACTGGATCTGCTGGGACGGGGAAATCTTTCATTATAGAGGATGCACTACGCGTGTTACGTCAAATGTATGGAGAGGATGCTGTCTTTGTGACTGCATCCACTGGATTAGCAGCTTGTGCTCTAGGAGGAATAACACTTCATTCGTTTGCCGGGGTTGGCATTGGATCCGACACTGAGACTAAAGAGCAACTCTTAACCAAGGTTAGCACTTTTGATTCCCGCGGCATACCTTCTCTCGGATAAATCCATAACTCACTTATTCACAAGTATTCGTGGTCTTCATCATTGCACTGTGATTTTATTTGTTCTGAAGCTCTTTGATACGAAGTTTTGGAATTTGTGCTCAAAGGTCCGGAAGAGAAGAGACGTCAAGGCTCGGTGGACAAAAGCACAGGCTCTTGTTATTGATGAAATCAGTATGATCGATGGGGAGTTCTTTGACAACCTTGAATATATTGCTAGTAAAATTAAGGGAGGGTCTGAACCGTGGGGAGGGCTTCAGTTGATTGTCACCGGTGACTTCTATCAATTGGAACCTGTCAAGCCTAGCAATCCTCTGAAATACTTCGCGTTTCAGGCCGAGTGTTGGAATAGAAGTTTTGACATACAGGTGGAGTTAACCCACGTTTTTCGACAGTTGGACATGGAGTTCGTGAATATGCTGAATGAGATACGTCGGGGAGTATGTTCCCCTTCAACTCTTCATCGCTTAAGGCAGTGCCAAGGTCCTCCAGACCGTGCTGATAATGGAATTGAAATGACGAGGTTGTATCCTCATCAAATGGATGTCCGCCGTGAAAATGATCAGAATCTGAGATGCTTAGGAGGAGATATGATTATATACAGGGCTAAAGATGATGCTTCGACAAGCTTCGCACAAAGGCAATTGGACAACGTGCGAGCAGCTGCTGTACAACCTCTGTGTGTGGGGGCTCAGGTACCCATCATTTTTCGATCATACACATGCTCATTTTGGCCAAGTTGAGCGGGTGATCCAAGGATGACTGTTAACGTATAAGTCAATAGCAACTGCAAAGGATACTATATTTCAATGAATTCCTTCCCTTTCAAGCAGCTGCATGTGTCATTTCGCTCCGCTCATGCAGGTAATGCTCTTGAAGAACCTTGAGACCGCGGCTGGGCTTGTAAATGGGTCGAGAGGTGTAGTGGTTCGATTTTCTGCACCAGACGATCCTGCATCGGAGGAGTACGTACACTTGGCCAAATTCATCAACCCCACTAACCAGTGGCCAATTGTCCGCTTCGCTTGTGATGGCCTTGAGAGATTAGTGGGCCCTGTAAGCTGGAGTGTCTCAGATGGCAACAAAGAGGTTGCCAAGAGAATCCAGGTAAGCAGTTTTAACTTCCAGGAGTATTCTCGAATGTTACTGATTTGAAACAACGTTATTCACCTGTACCTGATGGTCACCTTCACATCTTCATTGGTTAGTGTTCCTAACTAGTTAAGCTCGGAATTTGAATTCAGATTCGCACGAAATTATCTTACCTATGGTTCCAATATGACTGCTTTCAGATTCCCTTAATGCTGGCTTGGGCGCTCAGTGTACACAAGTGCCAAGGGATGACGTTAGACTATGTGGAGACCGATCTCTGCAAGGCTTTTGGTCATGGTATGGTATATGTGGCTCTTTCACGGGTTAAGTCTCTGCAGGGCCTTCGCCTCATTGGTTTCGATCCATCCAGGATTTTGACCCGCCCTGTGGTATCCAAATTTTACGAAGGTCTGAACAAGTAATTAGTAGTGGACCTCGACGACGACGATGATTTTACATAATGGAATTTTGTACATTACCTTAGTCTGCCTGCAGGTAGTAGAGTTTTTTTTTCGCGAAGGTTCTGCTTTCACTCAACGACAGTGAAGTTAACCCCGTGTGGCTCATGCCCAAGGAGTAATGAACAGATCAAAACTTGTTGATAGTGTATGTGTTGACTTTGTCCCTTGCGGGATAGACCACCCTTTGAGTCTCGCACAGTAATGTTTACTGATCCATAATTTTTTCTTTACTTAAAGTACATTAGGATTTCAATTATCTTCACAATTTTTTTGTTATGTTGGAGTTTAAGGGGTTCTCAATGAAGGAACGTTAAATGAACTCAAATGTCTTCAGTAGGTGAACATTCGGCTTTTTGCCACATAATAAATATATGCGGGACTAGGGCTCATGACACATCGTCAGGAGTTAGCTGATCTATTCGGAAAATAGACAGAATGCAAAGATAAAGAAAGAGGTCGCTGCAATGTGTGCTTGGGCATGAATGAATTTGCAGTCTAAAAAGTCCTTAAATACTAAGAAAATGTTCGGAAGTCATTCAACGGGTACAAAAGTGACCACTTGGGAGTCCAGCCAAAGATGCTAAACAATTGTCGCTAGTGCAGAAAATTCTACAACGTCTCGAAGTTGATACTAGCGGAATCATATGAAGATGCTGTACCCATCTTCAATTTGCTTCATATTCGTCTAGGTCATGGATGAAGTGAATAACTAATAACACGCTTCACAGAAGACATCAGCCACTGCTTCCTCCCAAATACTGCTAGGAAAGAGCCTGTTAAAATAAGCCCCTGATGGTATGAAAAGAATTAAGTTCTATCAAAATTAAAATTAAAATATCTGCATCTTACAATTCATCTCTCAAGCCCTCTGTTTCGGAGGGTTCTTTAGAATTCGAGATGGTATCCGCAACTTCTTGTCGCAAAGCCTCTAAATCTCTAGCAAAATCCGCTTGGTCCACGTCTTGATGCAACTCATGCAACTGGCTTTTCAATTTTTTCAAGGTATTCTCTACTCCGCAAACATTAACTAATGTTTTTCGAATTCTATTACTAACATTGCTCAGGCTCCTGATTGCCATCAACGCCTGCGCATCAAAAGCGGTTGCGTCATGAGTATTGAGTATTGCTAGGTGTCTCCATCTCGATCAACTGATCCAAAAGGTGTCATAAATATTGAAGAAATACTAGCGGGCAAATGCATTATGGTCCCCCAGATGTTTGCAAAGCATGAATTCCTCTCAATTCGAAGAATTACACAACTTGAAAGCAAGGGTTGAGAGCTGAGCTGACCTTCTCTTGAGTATCCATATCTGTAGCTTCCATCAGATTCACAACAGAATTCAGGAGTCTTTCACTAAATAGATTCACAGAATCAGGGACAGGCGGCGATTCTTCCATTGTGGCATCAAGCTGCTCATCACGCAGTGAATGACTCTGCTCAGCCAAATCAGCCACCAAAAACAATGACTTCCTGCGCAACCGAATGTCTACGGCCGATCCTCCCAATAGTCTCTGCAGTCACGAAAGGTACACGTCATATAGACCCAAATGCCTACGACCAAACAAGTGTTAAAAGATCTATCAGGTAAGCAAACAACCAACCAAACGTTATCAAAAGCCCTATCACTAGAAAATTAAAGAGTAACTTAAATTTTCACCTCCAACAACCCAGCACCGCCATTCATGTAAAACTCCTGCTGCCCAAGAGGAAAATTGCGTATCATAGCTGATACAGCATACAATGCTTTCACAGACTCTTCCGGAGAGCTCGATTCCACCATCTCCATCAACCTTGGCAGCCCTCTGTACTCCAGAACCTGGAACATTGAAAACAACATGTTAAGTTGACTATACATATACACGTCAACTTTGTCTCGCATCTCTACTCCCAATGATCTTTTTGAGACGAAGCCACAAGATGCGCAAACCAAGAGCACATAAGTTCACCTGCTTTTGTACGACCAAATTGTTTTGGCAAGCCTTTCCAAGTATCCAAGCTGCGGTTGTCCGAAGCTCCTCCGCTGCTTGGTCCAACTCCGCTATGACAAGTATTAAACCACCAAGCTTGTCCAAATCTGAAACATCTTCAGCCAAGGAATCCATTCATTGACTCTTTTCATTTACGTAAAACCTTACATTTCCATAGAGCCAACTGCTAGTACCATAAACGCGATTACTCCAACGTGAGGTTTTTCTACCACAACGTCGGTCAAACTCACCCCGGGCATTGTCGATAGGCTCAACTAGGATGAGCAACTCTTGAAGTGCTCGCTGCCGATCTTCGATAGACAGTGTCGAATTGAGAAGGTCTGCGATTGCAATTTTCATTAGCTCCGCATCAGAAGGTACGCGCAATCTGTCCATCATTTCCTGAACGTACAAACGCACTGCTTAAATACTAAAACCCTCTAAAAAATGACAAGAGCACTCAGTAAAGAATTCTACCATCTTTCCAAACCTGGGTCAATGCCATGGTATGAGAAAAAACAGCGGCCAAGACCAAACCCCAAAAAAGCATGACTGCAATCAAGATGACAAGATATAGTTGAGCAAATGTAATTCCTAAAAAATGTGCGGTGAACGGCGTAAGGATAATGTAGAGACCTTGATATCATCACGCCGTCTTTCCAATTCCTCTGAAGACAATTTTCTTGCATCTTTAGCCGCCACCTTCAGCTTCTCTGGATCAGAATGACCTATAACCGAATAACCAATAACATCAGCTCCCAAATCAGTACATGCTTATAAATAGCAACAGTGGGCCATTTTGCTACGGAGACATGCAAATTCTACTCAGGAAGAAATATCAAATAATAAAAAATATACAATACACAAACTAGAAGAAAATCATAGTCCATCGAGGACTTCATCAAGAACTTGCAGCTACCAATCAAACAAAGAAAGGCGAGCTATCGACATCGCTTCTCTAAACAAAAAAAGTTGTTAGGACTGCAACTGCAAACTTCATGAACAACGTCAATGCAAAGATTTCATAAAGGTAGAATTGACTGGAAGGGGTTTTAATGCATACCAATGGCCCATTGAAGCATGGACTCCATGGAATTAAATCCCTCGCCAGCGTCTGGCTGCTCGACAAGAGTAACTTTCTCGTCTGGTTGTTCAAGCTCATCCATGTCCATGGTAGTTGCCCACGTTATCCCCTCCGATGTCAAGTTGACAGATTCCAGCTCAGCCCCAACGGAGAGCTCAGCCATAGCCACAATCAACGACAGAAGGCACACAACTCCCAGTTTCCATCTTGACCAACTCATATCCCCTCGCGCATTCCTCTCAAGTCTTTCCATATTCAAGCGTCTACCGATCGTCTAACTCACTACTAGTACCTCAAAAACCCTTAAACCTCACAATTCGGCAATCTAGTGGAGGCGATTACCTTGTATCCAAACCTAAAAGAGCCCCCAAAACACCAAAAGGAACCTAAAAAGCCTCACCACAATCTGCTGCACAATGCAGCACCTCCACCAAACAAATAGGGTTCTCAAGAGCAAAAACAACTAAACCACCCGACAACCCAAACTCACATATCCGACATCAATTTACCAATTGGAAAGCAAGAAAATCCTTTGAGAATGAAAAAAATCTAGTGACCATCACGACGTGCCTCTCCAACTACATCTTCTTCAATCCTCCCTCACCCGATCCAGTTTCATAAAACGCCTGCAAATTCAGCAAAACTACAGCACTATCACACAAAACTACCCCAAGGTTTAAAAAAAAAAAAAGAAAAAAAAAGAAAAAAAGGAAAAAAAAAACGTCGGAAGAAACAGTATTCGCAGCGCATCTGGTATTCTACGAGAATGCAACACTGGGTTTGAGTATCGTCGCGAAATCGCTGAAGAAATGAACACAAATTGAACCTTCCGGAAGCTCTGAAGACCAGGGGTGCATGTGCAGAAACAGGAGGCTCTGAGGACCGGGGGTTTTGGCGGCCCATCCGTTGATTCGAGGGGTGCCACGTAGGTAGACGCGGTAATGAGTCAATTAGTCCGACGTGGAAGACTGTGATTGGAGGTTAACGGTGCTAGTTTCGTCAGAGGTGTGGGTAAGCTTTTTTATAAGTGTGAACAGAGCTATTTTTCGTGATGGATGATTCTACACTGCTTCGGAGGATTTTTGGCAAATTTTGCATTTCTATTAAAAGTAATGTCGAACTTTTTGTTTAATCTAATAAACATTCTCGATAGAACACTTTATTCTTGTTCCATGAATATGATGCCTCTAATGAAATAGTGCAACAAATCTGCATGTGCACATGTATATATATACATATATATACACACTAAATGAAGTGGGCATTCAAATAATCTCAAGAATAAAGTTAAGTTTTGTGAAACCACAGGAAATGTTTTTATTTTAAAAAATATTTTTCATCAATACATTAGTTTCAACAATTGATCCATTAAGTATGTTTGTATGTATGAATATATGTATTACTTTTCAATTTTAAATAAATATATTAAAATTACAAGATTGAACTTAATTATGTGCTTCTGGAACAAAATAGTTTATAAGTTATCCATTATATAATGCATACAAATATAAATAGAAGTGATTTTACATGTTTTAGATTTTATTTAAAATATAAATGATTGGTAAATATAAATACCCATTTTAACATCTAATTTGACAACTAATATTTTAAAGTTATTTTGATTAAAAAATAGCATTTATAACAAAAAGGATTTTAATAGTACTTTAAATATTATTATAAATTATTATTATTATTGTATTATTAAATTTATCATTATTTTATTATTATTTTAAAATATAGTACTTCTAAATTATTGTAATTTTATATTATGTTATATATATATATACTAGTATTATATATATAATTAAGGCTCTTGTTTTGCTTTGTGAATAACATAGTCAAGCAATGGGATTCTAAATGTGTCTAAAAAGATGGAACTTATTTGTTACAAAAATTGTTCTTATTTAAAACAACATCATAACAATAAAACTGAAACAAAAGAATATCAAGTGTCTTACCTAGGATGAATATTATACAATGCATTTAAAACCTATAGAATATGGCTCTTAATAGAAGATTTGGACATTAAAACTCTTCGTACTTTAAAACACTTAAATGAAGCAAAATGTGACTAATAATTATAGTGATTGTCTTTTGATGAACTAATAGGTCGATGAACATATACAAAGATGGATGTATCTTTAATTAGATGCACACATCCAAACATTTTTTTTTTTTTTTTTTTTTTTTTTTTTTTTTTAAAAAAAATAAAGGATTTAGTTACATACTGTTAAATGTTTAATTTCTTTACATATCAATATTTAAATATATTTAAGTATATTTAACATTTTAGTGTAATTTTTTTTAAAAATTTTATTACAAAAAAGTAATAAAAATAAATAATTCTAGCTGGTATTTAACTTGATAAACTATAAAAATTTGTGAAATTATTTGTGTATAAGTGAAAAAAAAAAAAAGTAAAGAATAGTGAGTATTTAAGATGCTCCATGAAACTAATAGAAGGCAAACCACAAAATAAGTAAAAAAAATAAGAGTAGATTAGAATGTAAGATGATAAGTGCTAAAAATGAAGGAATAGATGTTAATGAAGTTTTATAGAGGTAGATGTGAAGTAGGAAGAAGATTATTTTAGGAGAGAACACCCTTGTGAGACATAAAGCAAATAAAAATAAAAATATTAGACATGCCAAGTAAAAATATAAAAGTTATATCTATTTAAGAAGGCTAAAAGAAACAAAGAAATAAAGAATAAAGAATAAAAAAACTTAATGGCATTAAATACTATTAACTTAAAAATAAAATAAAATTTGATTAACTTGCTTTAGTAAGGATTGAGTCTTCTTGTATAATAATAATACTAATGATAAATAAATAAATAAATAAACTTGAACAAATTCTAACAATTTGGATGTAATAAAGGAATTGTAAGATATGATTCATAGTCAAAAAACATAATTGAATAGTTGATACTTCTATTTTTTATTTAATCTAATAAAGTAATTTAGAGGAATTAAATTATCTTTATTTAAGTTAATATTATTTTATAATGTCATCTTTACCTGTTTAATTATAGAGGTTTAAAACTTATTAGAGTAATACAAACTTAATATAAATGAGTAAACTCATAAAAAACATTAAACTATAATAAAAAAATATTAATTATAATATAATTATTTGATTTTATCATTTTATTTTGAATCAACATGAAAAGATACTGATTAAGATGACACAAAGATGATAAGAATATATTCAATATTTATATCATTCCAAATAGAAAAAATTAATATTTCTAATCCTAAAGAAGTTTAATAATAATAGATCCAAATATTAAAAATTTATTAATTTTGAAAAAAAATTATTCTTGAAGTATATATTTTTAGATTATTAATCTAAATATTTTGAATTAACTTTGTTAAAATCTTACTTACTGGCTTTTATCTACCATATTTAAAATATTAAGAATATATATTAAATAAATTTGATACATTTCTAATAGGATTTTTAATAGGATATTGAAAACAAAATGTAGTTTGTTAATTAATAAATAAAATCTAAATTTCATTACAAGAGCTTGGTCTATATCTGACTATACATTATAGTTTTGAAAAATAGAAATTGATGCTAAGTTGCATAATATCATCTTAAAATATTTGAGTTAAACAATAGAATTTTTTATTGAATTTTAAAATTATTTTTTTGTAGTTTTGATCATAAAATATTATTTTATGGTATCTATAATTACTATACTATTTTTTAAAAAAATTACTAATAATATATAATTTGATATAGAAGATTATTGATATTGAAATTGGTGTAGTATAATTCCAAAATATTACAAAAAAATCAGAACTTAATACCAATTTGAATGATTATGCTAATATTATAGAAAAACATAGAATATTTTTTTTAAAATAAAATGTTAAAAAATGTTAAAAAATAATTTTTAAAATAATGTATTTTTACATAAAAAATTGTATTGGGATTCTTATACAATATTAACTTGTGAAGATCTTATACTATGCTTTTATCCATATTTTTTTCTTTTAAATATATTTTTTCTAAGAACTTTAATTTTTAAAAAGTTTATTTATTTTTTCATTAATTTCATAACTCTTAGTTTGTTGATTTATTTATTTTTTATTATTTTAAAATACTTCAAGTACAAAAATTAAAGTAGATATATTTAAAAGTTATTAATGGTTTAATTTTGTATCATAAATATTTTAAAAATAAAATCCTCCTCTAAAAGTGTTTAATTTAAAATAAATGTTCATATTACTTAAGTAAATAGAAGTATGTAGAAGTAAGTAAAATACATTAAGTAAATAATATCTTTGTTAAAAAACTTAGAAGAAGTTTTTTAGAAAAAGATTGAATATTTAGACTTCTATAAATATACTATGTAGTCAGTCAATTTTATTCTATAAATTTTTAAATTTTAGTAAGTAATATTCACAACAATCTAAAACTTAGTACTTAAACTATAAGTATTGTGGTCATTAGCAAACTTTGACAAGGTCCTGTTAGTACTTAGAATATATAGAGGCAAGAGTGAGGATATCTTCACTTTTATTTATTCATTTTTTATATTTTAGTATTGATTTAAGACTCTTTAGTTTCCTTATATTTGAAAATAGTCATTCAAGTTCATTTCTATCTTATAAATATCTTCTCATTTATTAATTTTCTTTCATTCATTTGATACATGAGTATAAAAACTTTTGAAGTTATTTTTAGGTTCATATCCTTGACATAAGCATGGTCATGATAGCTTGATAGTATTTAACATGATAAAATAACAAAGTAGTTATATAATCATATTTTTATCATGGAAAGAAGATCAAAACCTTACAATAGATTGGACATCTAATAGTTGTTTTTTGTTATTATATTAAGAAAAAATTATAACAAAAATTAAGTTTTAAATATAAAAAAGAAAAATCTTTGTTTATTGGATATCACATAAGATTCAAAAAGAGAAGATTTTTTTAAAAAATAAGAATATTCATATAAAATTTTAAAAAATAATATTTTTATTTTTATTTTTGTACGGCACGTAATCCTTATTTAACTAGAATTATGGATTAATATAAGAAAAATAATACAATATTAATAAAAAATAAAATAAATGCTTTAATCAAGTGTTAATTTTATGATTAAATATTTAATCACCACAAAGAAATTTAATCATTATTTAAGACAATTTACACCTATCATATAAAAATAATTCCATTATTATAAAAATTAAAACGTCCAATTTGCTAAGAAATTTTATTTGATATTTAAAAATTTCTTTTAAATATGATTTTATTTTTTGAAAAGAGAAAAGAATTTATCTTTATTAATATAAATAGGTTATTATATTTATATAAAATTTTACCACCAATAATCATTAATCTTTTATTTTAATATAAATTTTTTTTGATATCTTCTACACTTATAAATACTTCATTTAATATATTATATTGAATAAAAAATATTTAATTTTTTAAAATTTTAATTATGTATTATTTAATTAATATTAAGTTTTAATGAAAAAATATAAGTACATAAATAACATATTTTTTTATAAAGAATAAAAATTCAAAGGTGTAATACATATGCTAAGATAAAAATGTATGTATTTTACTCAATTCAAGTGGGATTTTACGAAGATATCATTTTAATAAAATATTTATAATTTTATTTTAAATAAAAATATTAAAACTTAGAATATTCCAAAATTGTATCCAGTTTTTATTATTATTATTATTTTTATAATTTTAAGAATTTTATAAAATATATGTTAAAGTTTTTTTATTCATCATATATTTGTAAAAATAATTAAAAAATATACAATTTATTAAAGATGCAAAAGATTTAGTTTAAGTTAAAAAAACATATATAGAAATTCCTATATGAT